CCTAGACCGCAACTTTGAGGCCTCATATCTCGCTCATTTCTCAACGGATTTCGCTCATATTTTCAGACGTTATAGACGTTAATAAACTCTACCTGAATGTTGTCTAAAATTTCAAAAAGCCACTTCCGGTTTTGAGTTATTTCCCTTTAAAGGAAAATTTATAGGCTTTCGTTTCAAGACAAAGGCTCAGAGACAGCTAAAGCTGGAGCAGAAATTCTACTGATTTTAGATAACAGAAGGATTGAAGTTGTGCACATCGGTTTTTGTTTTTCGATTTCTCTATTCAAAATGGCGCTATATAGGGGTCAAAAATTAGAACGCTTAAAAGAACAAAAAATTACTCATATTTTTCTTTTTATCTTCTAAACTAAAAATATTTTGTTAAAATATATAGAACATAATTTGTGCAGAATTAGAAGATCTTTCAAATGATATGTTGAAAAAAGGGCTGACCCCTAAATTAAGGGACCTAGAGGGGCCAAAAGTTTTTTCCAGATATCTCAAAAAGTATTGAGAATTTGTTTTACATCAAAGAAGCAAAGTTGTTCAAAATATCAAGCTTTATCTAATGGGGTCGTCAAAATACGTCTGGCGACGTCATTTCCGGTCGAACCGGAAGTAGTCAGAAAATGCATATTTTTGCCGTTTTTGACAGGTTTTTGGGTAACATGTGTCACTAGAAGCTTATATATTAATTTTCTGTCCGTCGTCGTCACTTCCGGTCAAACCGGAAGTACCAAAGAATGGCTTAATTTTGCAATTCTTAACATAGATTTGGAGGATTAACCCATTTTTGGACTTCATTACTCTTTTGTTTAAAATGAAAGTTACTTCCGGTCAAACAGGACGGAAGACCTACTTGTTGCTTTGCAACGAGCTCGGCTCTAGTTCTTATTATTCTTTTTTTTCTTTTCTTCCTAGACGCCAACTTTGAGGCCTCATATCTCACTCATTTCTCAATGGATTTTGCTCAAATTTTCAGACATTATAGATGGTAATAAACTCTATCAGAATGCTATCGATAATTTCAAAAAGTCACTTCCGGTTTTGAGTTATTTCCCTTTAAACGAAAATATATAGGCTTTCATTTCCAGACAAAGGCTCAGAGACCACTGGAGCTGGAGCAGAAATTTTACTGGTTTTAGATAACAGAAGGATTGAAGTTGTGCACATCGGTTTTTGTTTTTCGATTTCTCTATTCAAAATGGCGCTATATAGGGGTCAAAAAATAGAACGCCTAAAAGAACGAAAATTTACACGTTTTCCTTTTTATCTTGAAAACTAAAAATATTTTGTTAAGATATATAGAAGAAAAGTTGTGCATAATTGCAAGGGCTTTCATATCATACTATTCAAAAGGGGCTGGCCCCTAGGATTAGGGATTTAGGGAGCTTGAAAGGTTTTTGCTTTATAACTCAAAAACGGTAAATATTTCGATCTAGATTATACGAACAAAATTGTTCTTTGACACCTTTTTAATCTGATGAAAATGTTTTGTGTTCGATTATACCGGGGGTATTGCATAATACGTAGCTGAAAGCAGGCCAGGTAAACAGGTAGCGTTTTTCATTCAGAAAGGAAATCAGACCTCTTCATGTGTATAATTTACACAAACTTCCTATCAGTAATAAACCCTATGGAATTTAATGTTAATTTTCTTCTAAATAGGGCTTTATACATGCTTTACGGTTCACTATTAAATTATTTATAACGATTAGTCTTTCTTTTTTATTTATTATTAATTAGTTTTATAGTGAACACGTCTTCATAAATGGAATATATTTAATCTACCTTTCTACATTGATTATTATAACAATTATAAGTTATTTTAACTTTATGCATCGAATAATTCATGATCATTAGTTGTATACATTTGGCGATCTCCAAGATTGCCTAGATGTTTGTAACAGTTATGTAATCCAACACCCGAATCCCAATCGAGGTCACTAGTGTACCATCCACAGTGACCTGTCATAAACAATGCAAGTGTCTGTGATCGTGTTTAAAATCCATTGTGTACAAAGACCTATCAATTTATAGAAAATCATGTTTTTAATTTATCGAATCAATAAGAATACTTCACTGATCTTTTATTTAATCGTAATTCGAAACACTGGTGCATAAATCATTTTGAATTGTGATCGCTTTCTTTGGCCTGTTCACGCAAAATTATTTCTCTATTCCGTGTTAATGTATTTTATTTAAATTGTAATTGAAAAGGGGCTTCGGAAAATAATTATAATTAGTGATGGAAGTCTTGTGATACGTAATGTTCTACTAGTATTATGTACCGAAACGTTTTATTTTTACCACCACTCTTTTGTTTCTCCATTATTTTTTTTTTATATTAATAAACATTGCACGTTTAAAAAATACTTTAAAATATACTATTATTCACGTATTTGTAATGAACAGTTTACATCCAGCTTTGTCGCTTTGTGTCTAAAATTTTGTAGCCCAGTCCTCATTTACAAGCACGTGTCCACAGACAGCAGCGGGTATGTCGATTTGAAAATCCGTTGTGTACTCCGATAGTTACAAATAGAAAATTGGGTTTGAAATCATCATGATCATGTCGACTCCTTTCATATCATTCAATTTCACTCTATTTCAGCTTGTTTTAATTTTATCAATCGTAATCGCTTGTGCATTTATTCATTTTATGTTTTATGCCTTTTGATAGCCAAAAAAAAAAAACACGAGCTAGGTTTACACCATTTTTTCCTGTATTTATCGAAGTGGTAATTGTTTTATGAATCTTAAACTACATGTACGCATGCATGATAATTGTAAGTGGAGTTAACGTTTCTAATTCACAGGGGAAAACCAACATGAAATTAAGCACTTTTGAGTTTGCAGTTATTTGCTACTAAACTTAAAATGATATTGTACAGAATGGTATACTATTTCGTCCAATAAACAGAATATTTTACATGCCTGTACATGTACAATGTCAGTACGAATTTAATTGATGCAAAGCATCAAATTGGCTGCAAAGCAAAAAAATTCTTTCAGATGCAAGGAAAGCACATCAAGATATTCAAAGCTGAAAAAGTTTTTCAATTCTATTTCAGGCTATTTTCAAAGGAAAATAAAAAATAATTTTACCGCATTTGCCCATAAATAGAGTTATCGATGTTAAAAAGAAAATCAAGTTCATTGATGTATAAGATGAATTTATTGTCATCAAAATGAAGGTAAAGGCCTGCCCGAGCCTGATACCCTGGATCTTGATTACGTGATAATGCTCATGGTTTCTGCAGAGCAGGCTATGCTGCAAACCGCAGTGCAAAGTTAAAAAAAAATCTTCTTGATCTTTGTGTCATTTGTAGATGTAGAGCAAATTCAAAACAATTTTTACTAGAAGTTGAAAAACTTCTCATTTTTTTATTCACCATCCACTTTAACCACATCATCATTATCCGGAAAATCAAGAGATTTCTTTTCAAATCTTACACACTCTGAGTAACTGATGTAAACTCTTTTTATATGACCATAAATTATCGATGATCATGAGATATTAATGGCAATGCAAATTGAAATATATTTCAACATTTAATATTAAATTTAATCCAGTTTTTAAAATATTTTACACGTGATTTTTACTTGTTATAATTTACGAACTATTTTATTGAAGTAATAAAAAAAGTCTCATTTCCCCATGTGCACTCTCTAACACAATCACATAAAGATTGTCCGCTACCACAGCCGATAATAATTACATGTTTTATATGCATGAACTTTTACATAGAAGAGCGGCTAAACATATACATCCAGAGCTTTCAGAATACAATTTTACAAAATTAGAAAATTCGTTATTGCTATTTATCATAAAATATAAATTAAATTCTTTCCTTAATTATTGAATTCCTATGTATTTAACTAGGAACTTAAATTATCGATCCGCTCTGATATTTGGTTGTGTAATGATTACAATGTATATAAACGTCCATCTTGTCAGTCATTGTTGCTTGACGACGTCTTGTTTTCCTTCTAAGCAGAGAATGTCAGTCGGTTGATTTGTTTTTGTACATGCATATATACATGTAGTTTAGGGGTTGAATTCCGAGACTGAAAATTACGACCTATTTTTATGTAAACCAATAATCATACATGACATGTTATGCCCTGCCATGAATATGACCAAGGCATTTGGTGTTTGTCGGACGTCTTCCATCCTTCCTACTTTCTGTCCTTACGTCTCTCCTTCTGTCACACTTGCCTTTAGCTCAGTTCAAAGCTCAGTTTCAAACAAACTATCCAAGATATTTTTATCAATCTTTATATACTGATAGAAATTAATTAGAGTTATGCAATTGACTTAACATTTTTTTTAACTGACTTTAATACATGTATATACCTCACTTTTCTTAAATTAGTGTTTAGCTCAGTTTTAAACATACCATTCAAAATGGTGTTATCAAACTTCACATGTTGATGCATACTGATGAGAGCTATTTAATGGCATCACCATTTTTGAACTTGGCCTTTCTTTTGACCTTGACCTAACTCTTTTTATCTCAATTTTAGCTCTAACGAGAGTTAGTTATTGCTTAACACAAGGTCATTTGGAAAGATCAAGGTCACACATACTAGTATTCCTTTACAGTCTTTTTCTAGCGAAACATTGTAAGTTGCTTCTCTTACAAGGTTTTTTACTTGTATATCTTTAGTATGTGGCTTTTGACCTCGACTCAAGGTTACGTCTTCTAGTCCGTAGCTCCAACGGAAGACCTATTCGTTGCTTTGCAACGAGCTCGGCTCTAGTTTAACTTCTTTTTTTTCTTCTTCAGTGACTTACAACATACCAAAACTACTTTGCTAAAGGATGTGGCACTCCATTTTTTTAGGCATAAGCAATGGTTATTTGGCAGAGGACTATAATCTATATTTAAATATTTCAAATAAAATTTACATGTATATTTAATCTAATATAATATCTTTTATTTATGTACATGTATAAAGCTTGATCTTATCATTCTGTATTCCCTCAACTTTACCTATTGAAGCAAAATTAAAATTTCCACACTGTGTTGGCCTCCAAAAGTCAAAACTGACACCTACAAGACAAAAGTCATTCTGCTTAGTGATACTTTTTTTTTTTAACAACAAATTGATTTTTTTCTTGTGAGCTTTCCTTAAAAGATGCATAATAATCTATTATTTTAAAAACTAAAAAATGTTTACAGACCAAATTAAATATCACCCAAAACTAAAACCAACCTTCAAATGCTGCCTCACCGCTGCTAACATTACATTGGACATAGCTAGTTGGCAGGTCATGGAAGGTCAGTACATCAGTACAGCTGCTTTGTTCAAAGCACAATGAGATATTCCCATCAACTTTGATTTTCTTCTCAGTAACCACATTTGTGACATGAAAGCTGTCAAATAAGTTTAAAGAAGTAAAATTTCACATCTAAAGTCCTGCTGCATAGAAAAACTGTAAAATAGTTATGTAACAGATGCATAATTAAGATTCAGTTTCACTTTAGTCAGTGAAGCTAAGCTTACCCATATCTTATAGCTCCATGAATTCCAATTTTCTCTATTGTGCCTACAAGTTAATATCAACGTTTTTTTAATCATTTTAAATGAAAATTAACTGTCAGCAGTATATGTTGTATAATTAACACTTACCCCATGCATATGTGAACAAGTTAAGGCTGATTTTAAGGTTATCAATTGAGGCCTCCATCTGGTAACTGCATGTATTAAGTACAAGTTCAACTTCAGCATGTCTTTGAACAGGAGCAATGTAGACACAGCAAGACACCCTATCACATGTAGAGGGAACATGGCACAAAACTTGATTCTTGTTTGTAAGGATTGGTAAGGTGTAGTTGGGATACTGCTCACATTCTGTTTCCAAAAATCAACAAAGCAAATATAAAAGGCAACATTGTAATACTTGATATCGTGTTTACTTAACTTAGCGGAACTCTTTCGCAAAGGAGATAGGAATCGTCTGTTGGGTGGGGGCAATGTGCTATTCAATACAATGCAAGATCTATCATTGTAGCATTTATAAGGACAGATAAGTAAAAAATCCTGGTGGAATACCTCGCTAAACAATCGCTGAACCAGCCTAATATATTTTTGAGAGGAGCCAATTCTAAATTGTCATATTTTTAACGATATTTTTAATTAAGCAGACTCTTCTCGTTAAATTTTCATTGAAAATCGTCACATTTTTAAGCAGATGAAATATTCTAAACTTTCCTTATTTGACGATCTACTATTTGAAGTTCAATATCTGGCAAAACATAGTGATTTCGGCATTAAATTGTTCGAATCATTCCATTGTCACTACTGTAAACAATGACATTTGCCCCCAGAAATGTAGACTTTTCTCGACTTCCCCGCCAAAGAGCGGTAGTAAGTTAGATAACTGCGAGTTACTCATTGGTAGTCGCGATATTACGTATTTACACTTTTTTTTTGTTAAATACATCAATTTAATACATTTTAAGTTTCTACCATTATTCCATCCATTTCCTGCTGCTGCTCCATACACTGTGTCAGATAGAGAGCACCTGTCTGTAGAATCCAGGAAGTGGTCCAGTCCTAGTTCTGTCAGGAGATCACTGGCCTGGGGTACAGTCATGTCATCTACACTGGGTATAGCATGGGAGGCCAGCCAAGCACTGAGGGAAAAGCCTGTAAACAAAGAACAAAGTTTTTTTAATGATACTACACACAATCCATACTGATAATTTGTACCCTCCCCCCCCCCCTTTTATAAACATTAAATCAACCTATTCATCTCCAACTCCAAGCAAAACTTCTTTTAAACAAGAGGCCCATGGGCCACATCGCTCACCTGAGCACTGTGGCTAGGAAAAAGCAGGATTGGTTTATACATGTACTTGAAAAGCTTAAATCCAAAAGTAGTCCCAAGACCAATTATGGCTTTGCTATTCTTGAGAAGAAGATTTTTAAAGAATTTTCCAATACATTTCTATGTAAAACTTTGGTCGGCCATTTTGGCCCCACCCTACCCCTGGGGGTCATGATTTGAACAAACTTGAATCTACACTACCTGAGGATGCTTCCATATAAATTTGATCAATTATGGCTTTGTTGTTCTTAAGAAGAAGATTTTTAAAGAATTTTCCTATACATTTCAATGTAAAACTTTGGTCAGCCATTTTGGCCCCGCCCTACTCCTGGGGGTCATGATTTGAACAAACTTGAATCTACACTAACTGACGATGCTTCCACATAAATATGATCAATTATGGCTTTGCTATTCTTGAGAAGAAGATTTTTAAAGAATTTTCCAATACATTTCTATTTAAAACTTTGGTCGGCCATTTTGGCCCCGCCCTACCCCTGGGGGTCATGATTTGAACAAACTTGAATCTACACTACCTGAGGATGCTTCCATATAAATATGATCAATTGTGGCTTTGCTTTTCTCGAGGAGAAGATTTTTAAAGAATTTTCCTATACATTTCTATGTAAAACTTAAGTTGGCCATTTTGGCCCCGCCCTACCCCTGGGGGTCATGATTTGAACAAATTTGAATCTGCACTACCTGAGTATGCTTCCATATAAATATGGTCAATTATGGCTTTGTTTTTCTTGAGGAAAAGATTTTTAAAGAAATTTCCTATATATTTCTGTGTAAAAATTTGGTCTGCCATTTTGGCCCCGCCCTACCCCCGGGGGTCATGATTTGAACAAATTTAAATCTACACTACCTGAGGATGTTTCCACATAAGTTTCATCTTTCCTGGCACAGTGGTTTTTGAGGAGAAGATTTTTAAAACATGCCACCAAATTTTCATTAATTTCCAATTATCTAACCTTGAATGAGGGCGTGGCCCTTCATTTGAACAAACTTGAATCCCCTTCACCCAAGGATACTTTGTGGCAAGTTTGGTTGAAATTGGCCCAGTGGTTCTTGAGAAGAAGTCAAAAATGTGAAAAGTTTACAGACAGACGGATGGACAGACAGACGGACGGACGGACAGACGGACGCCGGACAAAATGTGATCAGAAAAGCTCGCTTGAGCCTTCGGCTCAGGTGAGCTAAAAATGTAGAAAAACACAAAATTAAAATACTAAGAAATTTTGAGAATTTAAGTTGATTTTGATTTTAAGAATGCAGATGCAGAGGTGCAATAGCAAAAAAATGTATTAATCATGCAGTTTTAATTTTAGTATCATGAATGGCAGTTCATATCTTACTGGAATTCAGAAATCCCTCCTGATAAGTGCAGTCTTTCATGTCAAATGATGTCTGGTTAAGAATGGTTACCACTTGGTCACAAAATAGTGGTTCATAGCATGCCATAATATCCACTTGAAACTCGTAATTCCGAGTATACATATTACTTGTTATGGTGTA